CCCCCCCCCCACACTGACCCCCCCACACTGACCCACCTCACACTGACTCCCCCTCACACTGCCCCCCTCATACTGACCCCCCATACTGACCCCCCCACACCGACCCACCTCACACCGACTCCCTCTCACACTGTCCCCCTCATACTGACACCCCACACACTGACCCCCCCACACTGACCCACCTCACACTGACCCCCTCACACTGCCCCCCTCATACTGACACCCCCCACACTGACCTCCCCACACTGACCACCCCCACACTGACCCACCCCCACACTGATTCGGTCTCACGTCGATCCCCCTCGCACTGACCCCCTGACACTGACCACCCCCTGACCCCAAGGATCTTGTCCCCTCCTGATACCTCACACCCACCTGGCCTCCTCCTCCCCTGTTACCCCACTGTTCCTGCTCCTTCTCTATCATCCCCTTAGTCACTGACCAACTCCCCACCCACCTCACCCACATATCTGCCTGCCCCACCCCCTGATTCTGTCACCTGCCAATATACCCTCTCTCTCACTGACAGGGCTGCTGCACCCACCTTTGCCATGTGCTAGCTTTACCCCTTAGCGTGGTGCTTTCCCCCCTCCCTCCCTGACACACACACTCTCACTGACAGTGTCCTGTTTACATGCTGGGACAGTGAAGTTACTGCTGTAAAAACAAAGGCAGTCTGCATTCTTGGTGGCTGGCAGTTCCGAGATCAAGGAATGCTTTTCCTTTCCTCCGAGGACAGAACCTGAAGCTTGAGCCAGGAAGACGGAGGGGTGGGGTTAATAAAAAAAGACCAAGATGCGGAGAGGCGATCTCAAGACTGTGTAAATCAGTCCATGTCTCTAACAGAGAATGTGTTTTCGTTCTCCAGCTGCTGCCCTCAGCCACACCATCACAGCGAAATGAATAAAGAGCGCGGATAGGTCTCCTGTTAATGCATGGCACTAGCCACAGGGCTCCATGAGACAAAGACGGGGCTGTTTTGAACATGAGGCCACATGGAATTCCTGTCCCAGCTGTTTCCAGTTACACTGGGGGTTCGGGCCCAGATCATTGACTGCCATCAGAACGCTGGCTACATTCCTTCAACCTTTCGTCAACGTTCTCCCAGGCCAAGGTGGCCCTGCTCTCCCAGGGAGAGGCAGACTGCAGGAAGCTGTCACACAGCACGCTGAATAAAGTGAACACATTTACCGGGAAGGCTGAGAGGGAGAAGTTATTTCAGTGAGACAGAATGTTTGCGCCAGTGATATTGGGGGGAGGTTTCAGAGGATGAGAGAGGCGTGCGGGTCTGAAAGTGTGACTGTGTGAGAGAGTGACCAAGGGTTTGAGTGGGTGATGAAATGAGACTGTGTGATAAATTGAAATAACGTTATTGCCGGACAAAGTGAGTGGGTGTGTGAGAGAGAGAGAGAGCGTGATAGAGTGATAGAGGGTGAGGGAAACACTGAGTTTGAGAGAAACTGACAAAGGGCAAGAGAATGAATGATGGAGAATGAGATAGTAGGAACTGCAGATGCTGGAGAATCTGAGATAACAAGGTATAGAGCTGGATGAGCACAACAGGCCAAGCAGCATCAGAGGAGCAGGAAGGCTGATGTTTTGGGCCTAGACCGAGAAGGCTGAGAGGGAGAAGTTATTTCAGTGAGAGAGAATGTTTGCGCCAGTGATAAAAGGGGGGAGGTTTCAGAGGATGAGAGAGGCGTGCGTGTCTGAAAGAAGGGTCTAGGCCCGAAACGTCAGCCTTCCTGTTCCTCTGATGCTGCTTGGCCTGCTGTGTGCATCCAGCTCTACACATTGTTGTCTCGAATGATGGAGAATGTTGACAGATGGATCAAGTGATGGGGAGGGCAAATGAAGAAGAGAATGTGGTGAAAATGCTGGGGAGCCTGAGTGAGACATTCATTCACTCAATTGTTGTGTGTGTGAAAGATGGAGTGAGATTTGTTTCATTATTGTCACATGTACCGAGGTACAGTGAAAAGTGTAATCTTAATGTGTTGTACAGGCACATCGTACTACAGAGAGTGTAGATCAAGAACAATGAACAAAGAAAATTACAGCACAGGAACAGGCCCTTCGGCCCTCCAAGCCTGCGCCGATCCAGATTCTCTATCTAAACCTGTCGCTTATTTTCCAAGGATCTGTATCCCTCTGCTCCCTGCCCATTCATGTATCTGTCTAGTTACGTCTTAAATGACGCTATCGTGCCCGCCTCTACCACCTCCGCAGGCAACGCGTTCCAGGCACCCACTACCCTCTGCATAAAGAACTTTCCATGCATATCTCTCTTAAACTTTTCCCCTCTCACGTTGAAATCATGACCCCTAGTAATTGAGTCCCCCACTCTGGGAAAAAGCTTCTTGCTATCCACCCTCTCATAATTTTGTAGACCTCAATCAGGTCCCCCCTCAACCTCCGTCTTTCTAATGTAAATAATAATCTACTCAACCTCTCTTCATAGCTAGTAATGGGGTGAGTATGAGAAAGTAAGTGAGGGCGAGAGCGAATGCACAGATGTCGTGGCTCTGAAAGGACAGAGGTGGGCAGTAAGGAGGGCTTCATGAGCCAATGTGATCAGAGTCGGAGAGATGCCTGGTCGGGTGAAGTGTGTAAGCAGAAAACTGGAACACAACAGGAGGACCTGGAGAGTGAGTTTAGGGAGAGTCAGAGACAGGGTAGGACTATCTAGTGAGACCACACTGAGTGAATGAAGAAGGCGAAGGAACTAGAGAAGAAACTTCAAAGAGGCAGGGATAACACAGTGTGGGTCAGGACCCTTCTTCAGAAATGTCAACTTTCCTGCTCCTCTCATGCTGCCTGGCCCCCAGCTCTACACTGTGTTATCTGTGACTCCAGCATCTGCAGTTCTTACTATCCCTACAAAGAGGCAGGGTGTGTGTTGTGTCATGAAGGAAGAGGGTGATGGAGAATATGAGAAACCAGGGGTTACACTTTTTAGAGGGTTACTTGAACTTGGTCTGACAAAGGCAATCAGTGTTGGTATGATTATATCTCTAGCAGGGTCTTTTACCTGATGAGGCAACGTTTATCTTACAATAGACCACAGAGTCACTTCATTCAGGGAACACAGGAGTTGGAGTTGTTTGGGATTGAGGAAAAAATGCCGCCAAGCTCATCCCCGCAAGAAATGTACAGAGAAGGATTTCCAGCCCAAAACAGGCTCTACAGCAATGACACACAACCAGGTGGAACAAAATATTTCACCAATCCTTTGGAGGGATAATCGGTGATGATTTCTAAAGAACAGGTCACTCTTACTGGGAGACCCCTCTCACATATCTACTGGATAGACGACAAGAGTGAAGGGATCAAAGGGTATGAGGGAAATAGCGGGAACAGGGTTCTGGATTGGTAGATCATGGTGGAAGGCAGAGCAGACTTGAAGGGCTGAATGGCCTACTGCTATTTTCTATGTTTCGATGAGGAGGTGACCAGGTTACATTCCTGGACAATTTGTGGGAAATGTTAACCACGTTACATTATTGGGAGGACATGGGAAGATGGGAAGATGGAGAATGAAATCCTTAGACCGTCACACGTTACGATGTAGTGGTTATACCCGTGAGATGGTTCTTAAAAAATATGCTGTGATGTGGAGGTGCTGGTGTTGGACTGGGGCAGACAGGGTCAGAAATCACACGACACCAGGTTATAGTCCAACAGGTTTATTTGAAATCACAAGCTTTCGGAGCATAGCCCCTTTGTCAGGTTAAGTGAGAGAAAATCACACAAACACAGAATTTAGGGGCAGAGAGAGATCAAGGGCGGAGAGACCAAGAGGCCATATACATAGTGTGGGTGGAATGCTGAATAATAAGCCCTTGCTGGTGATCCAAACTGTTAGACAGTGTGAGTAAAGTGAAAGCAGCTGGATAACAAATGAAGGATGACCTATAATCTGATTAAATCTCTGCCTCATTTAATCAGATTATAGGTCATCCCTTTGCATGTTATTCAGCTGCTTTCACTTTACTCACACTGTCTAACAGTTTGGATCACCAG